CCCCCATCTCCAAACACACACAAATACACACACTTAAAGGAAAGTCACACGTGTATTTAGTTGGGTGATTAATTGACCTTGACAGCGGCCAACGAAAAGGGGCGCAAACGAGTCTGCCGTCAGCAGCTGATGCCGGACATCGGAGACTAACTAATTTTATCGCAAACTAATAATGGTCACCCCACAACGCGATTAATCAGTTAATTAAAAAAGCACAACAGCTCTTGCAAAATTAGGATAAATATCTCCAGTTAAATTTAATATTTTACAATGGAGACAAAATATTGTATAAATTATTTTTTAAACTAAATCTTTAATAAAATGAACAGTACGTATATAGGTATATCATAAACTTAAGTAAGTTTTTTTGCAATAAATAAGTTAAAACTGACCTCGTATGCATTGGAAATATTGACACCTTCGCCAGTTTGAGCAACCCAGCCAATTATGCCTATTCCAAATGGTAAAGATAGTAACTTCTGTGACGATTTGCTCATTACATCTTCGAAGACACTTTTAGCTGTGACATCAAAGAGTCGACTAACAAGAAAACGTTCTCCCGTTGAGGAATTAACTTCTACTAGGAAAAGAGACGCCCTATCTGCGTTCAAAAGGAGGCAAGTATTTCGAAGAATCTTGAAGCATAAAGAAGAAAGATCTGAATCATGCCAAATATCGAGAACTAGTTCTTGGAACATATCGCTGGAATAAAATTCGGCGAAGCTGACAGCAAGGGAATTTTTTCCTTCAGCCTTTTCAACTTGTTCCAAACCTCCATTAGTTTGAATGCCTGCGGAATCGATTGAAGCTGCTTCAGATGCAACTTGTTGAAGTCCATCAGACAGTTGCGAAATACTTGGAACTGATGGAGAGGAAAGGAAAGATTGAAAACCGCATTGACTGGTTGATAAGATTGGATGGTAAGCAAGGGGTTCAAATTCACTGCTGCTAATTTTACGAATTGGCAAATCGTAAATAGATTGAGGTCCAGTAATTGAATTCATACGAGTTGTGCAATTTTGAGAGGGAAGTAAAGTTTTGGACTTCTTGAAGGTCGAGACACGCACTAAATCCTCGATTACATTTTGTGACGCATGTGAGTAAATGTAATTCATAAGAATGGACGGATTTGAATCCAACCAGTTAAAAAGAAATTCCTCAGCCTTCTGGAAATTTTCACTATCCTTCATTTCACAAAAGGGGCAAACCCCCGTAGAATCACTAGGCGAAAGGTTAAACTCCATTCAAATTAATTATTATATCATACTTTGAAGTCGTAATATAGCGTTTCTAGGTCAAAATTGATCAATTAAAAGCATTAAAAAGAATAATTAAATTATTGAATAAACTCAAAAATATCAACCCAAAAAAAGAATTGCATTTTATTTTTAATTATTGTTAATAATTAAAATTTGTTCTGCATTTAAAGAAAAGATTTTTCTTATTTTTAAATACCAATCACTTTAGAATCGCCAAGAGTAGCCAATAGCATATTGCTTTCATAGTATTTTATTTGCGACTATTAGAGTACACTTGTTAGCAAAGTTCTTAAGCATAGCACACATTACGAAATTTTAATTGCCTGATAAAATATCCATCTAGGATCGATTTGCCCATTATACTCAGAAGGATATTGCTCAAAATTCTACCCCCTTTAGATGCCATCACAGTTCATGCTAGATCAGCTTCTTTATTGCTTAATTATACGTTATTGGAGTGGACAGTTTACAGTCCTTTCTTGGGTTGAAAAATGATTGTTATAGTTCAAAAATTTGTTTTTTAAGGTGACGCAATGTCTAAAATGCTAATTATTTCAAACATTGCTTAAATAGTAGTACAGTATAGCAAATTTTGCCTCAAAATTAAATTTTGCTTAAAAATTATTTAAATTGCCATTATTTCTTATTATAAGTTGGAAATTTTGAACATAGAAAAATCTGATTGATCATCGAAGAAGATAATGTCTTTCGTTGCTAGGTTATATATAAATAATTAATATGCTTTCATTTATCCTGCCGATTCAAATGATACCAACAACCCACATGTACATGCGCAATTGATTACAGGCTCAGTTTTGACATTCTACATAAGCAGATTAGTGTCCCGTTGAATAGGTCTCAAGTTAATTGCATTATTTACACAATACAATAGGGTAAACCACCAAACAGGCATACGAATAGCAAGGCTAAATTTAACCCAAGTTTTGCATTAATCTGCATACACCTCAGTGAAGTAGTTAAAATAAATTATTCCTGTTTAAATAGAAGTAATTGAGGTGGGATTTAAGGCATTGAAAATAATCAGCCTTATATGTGAGCATTATTATGATAAAAGTATACTTCAGTGATAAACGGTAGTGGTTTCACGAAATTAATTTACATAGCAGGTTAACTTTCATTTTTAAAATTCATAAGAACTAATCCTGTTCACCATTTGAATTTCCGTTTATTATTCTTAAACAGTTTTTTGCGGGTAATTGATTGTCAATTTTTTTATTTGCACCAACCAGACCAAGTAATATCCTTTTGGAAAAAAATTCAAACCTTTGACATGATTATAAAGATGTGTTTTCTTTTACCAGACCGTAACTTAAAAAATAAATATTGACTAATATCCTCTGATATCAAGAAAGTTGAAAGTTCAAATTTGGCATCTCTATGATCTCAGATGAATACTTATGCAAATACGGAAATGAGGAAACTCATTCTGCAAAAGATAAAATAACATCGGTCTCAAACCTGATTCCAAATTTTGTGATGTCATAATTCCTCAGCATTGATATAGCAGTGAACCCCGGAGTAGAGATGCAGTAACTATCGTAGATATAAATTAGATTAAAGTGGTATTTTTTCAATACTGGAAGTATTTTGTCACCTTATTTAATTGTAAGCATTGACTAACAATATGGTTAATATATGCCTCAAATTTTTCAACTTGCAATGTCGTTGAAAATTCAGTAGGTATTTCTCGAAGGTCAGTGTCAGATTTTATTCACTTTAATTCCGTCATGGATGATAATTCGATTTCATAAGAGTTCGTTTTTGTTTTTTTTTCAAACATATAAGTTGATGTTCACCAATACAACCAAGATTTAAAACTCCTCTTCACTACGCTTACTTGTAGGCTTTAAAATTTTGACAATATCACAGTTGATCTAGGTGCTATGATACTGATACTCACTGTTGAATGCCCATTGGCAAGAAAGATAAGTTACACTAGTCCAAAGAAGGACACTGTACGTATCCTAAATCTCTTACCATTAGATAGTTGAAAATCAAGGTGATGACGCCTGGACAGTTACAAACTGGTTTAAATTGTAAAATACCAATTTTGTCGAAAATTTATGTAAATCTACATGATTCATCAGTGGGTTGCACACACATTAAAATCCATTGAGAAAGAGGCGTTTATTGTTTTATTCATATCATGGAGGACCTATTTTTCGGATATGAGCTTGAATCCTGGTAGAAATTTGTGTCTTTACGTTCAACCTTGCCTTTAGTAAGTATTCTCAAATCGCTCTTCCTACACTTGACCCCAATAGGTAGAAATAATTAACCCCACAGCATTGAGTAATTCTCTTCTGGTTTCAGCATGGTTACGACTTTATTTTATGGAGCAAAACTTTCTAACTCCATTGATTGCAGTATTAACCAAAACTCGACTTAAGCAGAGAGAACAGGTCCTCTTAACACGGTTATGAGAAACTCTCCATATCTATTGATAACACGAATTAGCCAATGCGTTTGGTCATACAGGTCGCTGGGTATATGATAATGTGAAAAGTCTCGTAAAGCCTACCTTGAGCGATGTGTGTTTAAAATACATTAGTGATAGTATATCCTCTTCTACCTATGTATCTTATTACTCATTGAAAAATGCTTTTAAGAATGCTCTAAAAATATCAATATTGGGAGAAATGTAACTTGTTAGGTTTTCTCTCATGAATTGTGATCTTACTGATTTATCTACCAACATCACTAAAACCGATCTGCCAAAATTTATGGCCACATCTAGATGGTGTGGTCCTCAGTCGATGGGAGATTTCCAGCGAAGCAGTGGTGTGGAATTTAAATTTTGTCCCCAAAATCAGATAGATCTAAACCGCAAACTTGCGTCACGTAAAGTGGACAGCAGTAACAAAAAATGCAAACAGCCAATGGACAGAGCTCTCACGGTCTTACTTCCAATAGCCAATCACAGGCTGCGCGCGACCTAGTGGATGTCCTCGCTCAAGTAGACTGAGACAAATTAGAAGTTGTATGCTCCCATTTGGATTAACTCGCTTCCACCTGTCCATTGATTTTGGTAGGATTTCTTGAGAAATCGTTATCCTTTTGGATTTGTTAATATGACAAATTTGAATGTAGGTGGTTTTCCAAAAATATGTCTGAAATTGAACTCAAAATAAATTAATAAGCGTGGTTAATATAGGCATTTAAAGTTCATCTATTGCCATAAGCTCATGGAATCAGTTTCTTAAATTCACATTTTTTTCATGTAATTTGAACTGTTTATTTGTGAATCAGAACGAGGTTATTATAATAGCTGACCTTCTCCACTAAAGAAATTTTTTTGCGAACCTTCCTACAATGAATTTTTATTGAGTATAAAAAGATCGCAAACAAAGGGCCTTTTATCTCGTTTTATTCTTCGATTCACTGCAGAATTCCTTATTCTCATTTCCATAAATTACATTTTTTCTCATTGTCAATTCAGTTTCTACTTTATTTCAATTTGTCATTTTGCTATATTATTTCATAAAATCTATCGCGGACTTAATCTTATTGACTTAATTTGAATTTAGTAACATGTTCCAATGATTTTAATTTAGGTTTTTGTATTCTGAGTATCATTTTCGATTTTAAAGCTATCTCATTACTTTAATCAGTGATGATCACACATTACACGTTCAAAGACAATTTTCCCCATCAATATATTTCCCTTATTCCAATTATTCGTCTTTAAGTTAATTTTTTTTTAAAATACGACCTGAATTACTCTGGCAAAGTGAAATTTTTCATCTATGAACAATGGGGATTCCGATTCGCTTGCAAAAATGTCCAACCAAGTGATTTAGAGCTAATTATTCACTTTTTCTCCCATAAATCCCATTTCTTATGTCGGTGTCAAATTGTCACTCGTGCGTGCAAATGCCCATCACTTTACAACATCATGTCATTCAAGCCTCATCAGCCCGCTACAAGTCGTGAGTCCAATGTATGTTTATGTGGAAAATTTGTGCTTGATCTGATCACAAACTCCCTCCCTACCCCCCCCCCCCCCCCTCACCCCCCACTCCCTATTTAACATAGCTCTCTTAGTCCAGTTTAGATAAAACGGGAAATTATTTATTTAGTGCCTTATTATTACTGATGCATCGGGCAATAAAAAGATCTAAATTAAAGATAGGAGACATTTTAACAGGAGGAGGGTGGCTATTGACCAATACGGGATGAAGAAAGGGGATAAAGTGGATTCTAAAGTATTTTTTGCCGATTGACAACGACATTTCAATGAGTTGCACCTTCTGGTGGTGAATGTGCTGATGCGGACACGATCAACTTGAAATAATGGAGCTTGGTTTTGAGTTATAAGCTTGTCTAGACTTTTTTGTGGGATGTTTTGAGTTATGGCTGCTCTACGCCCATTTTTACAACACAGCTGATTAAGTTTTAGTCTACAACTTAACTTAATATAAGACATACGTTGGTCCTATAGTCGTTTGTCCACTCCTAAACCTCCAGCTGAATATATACGAATTTGCACCTAACCTATCGTTTCTATCACCTTTAACTTTGCTCATTTTCTTGGAATTTTCTTTCCTCTCGAATTTAAATTTTAGAACCTCCGTCAAAATATTTTTTCTGCCCAAATTGTGATTGCTGCCCATGGAGATAAAATATAGTTATAATCATAAGAGAAACAACGACTAACAAAACGATCTCCCGAAGCAATAAGATAAAACACTATTTCGAGTTTAAAAATAAATAGAGATTTCCCATTTTAAGTAAAGTTCAAAGTTGATTATATTTAAATGCTTCCATACATTGTCAATAAATATCATCTGGTTTATTCAGTTCATTAATTAGGCATTTTAATGTTTTAGAGTGAGTGAAATGTTTTCCTTAGCACGGACAATAGCAGATGTCAAAAATAAGCCGACAAGGACTCCAATGGCCAATCGAATTCTACTTGGCACAATCTGTCGATTAGATAGCACTCCAAGGTTGGATGACATCAAAGTTGGCGCTGTGTCCTTTCGTGGAAATTCCACCATTACAACGACTAAACAAAGTTTAATGAATCATGGAATGGTCTTCGATATGAAAATACCAACGAAATCAAGAAAAATGAAAATCGTGGCAACGGCAGTGCAGAAAAAGAAGCCGATTTCGAACATTTGGCAAGATAAACACGTTCTTAACACCCTATTTAAATATCTTCGACCAAAAGATGTCCTTCAATGTTCTTCCGTTTGTAAGCTATGGCATGACATTCTGATACCCCATTATGTAAATGGTATGCGATTGGTTATTGATTTCAAGCGCTCCAACCAATCAAAGCGGGAGCAAATGGAGGAACAGCTTCGATTAGCTTATCGGTGGAAGATTTCTGCAGTCTCATTGGTTCATATGCGAGATGAACATGTATCGAATTTTATTCGAGCCTATTATACCACATTTCGAGAATTCTTCCCTCAGTGCCCTATTTCTTCACCAGAATTTGATGATGATGAAGCATTTAAATCTGTTCCAGATCTTTTAGACAACAGTTCTTGTACCGATAGCCTTGATCGATTTCACCTTCGACGGCTGGAGAGTGCACCAATTGAAATTATCATGAAGCCTTCCCGTCACATCACTCAGTTAACTGTTGACAAGTGTTACCTTAGTGATTACGCTCTTGAGCAGATGTTGACAGTTATGCATACGGTGACAAATTTATCAATTTTCAGCTGCAATCGTCTTTCTGATATGGCACTTTGGTCATGTCTTCGACCATGGACAACACAACTTTGTGTGAGAGATTGTTTGAACTTCAAAGACGATGCACTCCAAGCGATTATTCAGAGTGCTCCAGGACTGCAAGAATTAGATGTTCAGGTGAGCATACAGCAATTGAGGGTTTTGTCTGTCTGATCAAAGATATAATTAGTTAATACGCAGAGAGGAAGATGCACTGCTTTCAATATTGCGATTAGTTGAGGCTAAAGCGTAGGGGCTTAAAAGCCATGTTAGTACAGAGCACAAGACGGTATTTATTACTCGCTGCCTATCGATCTGTAGACTTTAAAGATCACCGAGTGGGTGGGGGGGGGGGAAGGTAGGTTGATTTGCATTCATTTGCGCTTTCCTAAACACGCGATCCACAAAAAATTAATAACGAATCGTTTATTTATCTCTTTGCATGCAGCTGGCACTAATAAACAAATTTTAAATTGTGGTTTACCTTTTGAAAATTTTATGTCTTCTTAGAACTAGTTTTTTCCTTCGTATTCAAGCTAAGAATTGAATTAATCTTGGGAAATTTAACCCCAAATCTTGGAGATTTACATCACAAATGTTTTTTTCTCGTCATAAGCACTTGAACAGTCTGCTCTTTTGGCAAAAAGTCCCCGATGTTCCAACTGCCTCGGTTTCGGAATATGGTCAAGTTCTCGATTGAATAAAAGTGTAAGAATCAGAAAATAAAAGAAAACAAGGATTAGATTAATTTAAAACGTCTTCCAAACCGTAACTGTTGGAGGGGATAGGTGGTTTAATTGGGAATGTTCGTGAAGTGGAAGTTATCATATTTTTAATTAATGCAATCAAACTCAACTCACCAGAACCATTTCTCATTGGATGATTTCGTTCAATATGTAAAATTTGATCCAAGTTAATTTATATTTACTGGAAGATATCACGCTGACTAATTGCTTAATCACTTCATTAAATATCCACTGATTAAATTTCGCAATTCAGAGTGTTTGTAAAGTAATTAAATTTGAAGATCACCAGTTTTCAGTTGATATGAGAGTGGGCGAAACAAAAACTTGAAAATAATTAAATTATATATAAAGTGTTTCAACTAGTACTATCTTGGGATTTTTCAGACGTATATATCCTAAGTCCCACCATTTCGAGGTTTATTACTTCAACTTACCAAAAGAAAGGATATTTTTAATGCTCTGCATGCACGGAAATTTTGCACCAAGAAAAGTAGCCTTCTGTGAGTTTGCGAAGATATTTTTTAATCATCAGTCAGACCTGAATTGTACGAAATGAACAATAATCACTCGGTGGAATTTTAAAATTGGAAGCAGGCATTGTAATGTTACGAATCTATTTTAATAGGGCTAGGGTAAGCTTGATATCATTGGTTTTTCATAAATGAACAATTATAATGTGGCAAATATTTATTTATTTATATCAAATGGTAGGCATCTTGATGGTTATCATTAGCCCTTTAGTTGACTTCAGGCTTCACAGAGGGGAGGAGGAACATCAAATTGGAAAAGTCGAGAGGTGGGGGGGGGGAACAGAAGAGTTTTTCAAAGATGTAAGAGACAAACACAATGGTAGAAAAAGGTGAGGTGAGTGCTGTGAAAGTAATCTAATATGACATACAGTAGGGTGATGGTAGTTTGAAGTCAGAAGTCAACTGCCAGTTAATAGACTTTTTGCCGTATGAGTATACGTTG